ATGAGTTTGTGGACTTTCTGCTAACTCTTGATATCTAGCTTTACTCCTACACAGTCATACAATGTGCAGGATGCTGTTTCAGTTTTCATATATTTATCAAGACTTGCTTTGTGTCCTTATTTTGTAATTTGAGATTATTCCATAGGTTACTGAGGAAAAATTGTGTTCTTTAGTATTTAGATGGGATGTTCTGTAAATGTCTGCTGAGCCCATTTGACTTATGATGTAATTTAACTTCAGATTTTTTTCTAGTTATTTTTCAATACTTAGGGTATTGAAGTCACACATTATCACTGTATTAAGTTAAATCCATGATTTTATATCTAATAGTATTTCTTTAATGAAACTGGTTGTCAGTTTGTTGTGAAAATGTTTAGACATGTAATATCTTCTTGATGAATTTTTCCTTTAATGAATTTGACATTTCCTATATTACCTCTTCTAACTAGCTTTTAAATTAAAGTCTGTGTTTTAAACATTAAAATAGTTGTTTCTTTTTGCTAATGCACCTTTCACCCTTTTGCCCTAAATAAAATCTGTCCTTGAAATTGAGATGTTTTTATTGGATGAAAAAAAAAGGGATGAACCCTTATATCAATTCAATATCACTCACTTATTATTGGAGAAATGAGACCATTATTACTGAAAGTTATTATTAAACAATGCTTATTAACTCATGTTCTTTTGTTATTGCAACTTGTTATCTTAGACTTCTTTTGGCTAACTGAGCGCAGTTATTTCCTGTGCCCTTTTGGGTGTGCTTTATCTTCTTTCAGACTGAAACATCTTCTAGCATTCTCTGTAAAGCTGACGTACATGTCATAAATTATTTTAGATAATTTTCATTGTGGAAAGTTTTGCTTTCTCTTCCTATAACAATTGATAGTTTTGTTGGGTATAGTCACATGTCCTGATACCTATTGTTCTACAGAACCTGCAGAGCATCAGTCCAGGCTCTTCTGACTTGGAAAGTCTCCTTTCAAATGTCAGGTGTTATTCTGAAGGACTTCTCTTTGTGTGCCATTTAGTCATCCTCTATTGCATATTTCAACATCTGTTCTTTTTCTATACTTTTATAGTTTTATTTTTATTTGTTCTGTGGGGTTCTTTTCTTCCCTTGTGTATTTGGCATTCAGTATGCTTCTTGCACTTTGATGGGGCATCTCTTTCTTTAGACTTTAGGAAATTTTCTTCTGTGGTTTCTTGAAATATTGGTAACTTTGATCTATGTTTCTCCTCCATCTGTATCTATTATTTTTAGGTTTAGTTTTGTTAATGTTTCAGAGTTCCTGGTTGCTTTGTTCTTAAATGTGTTGCTGTTGTTTTAGATTTATCATTTTCTTCAATTGATTGATAAATTGTTTTCTACATTGTTTTTATGGCCTGACATTCTGTCTTAGGCTGCATTAAATCTGTTCTGAAGCTTTCCTCCAATCTTTCTTTTTTTAAATTCTTCAGTTTTTCATTCATTTTAAAATTTTCTCCAGTCTAGCTTTTCTTCAGAGAGTCCATCTTTTTATTAAGTTCCATTTTCCTATACTGAATCATTTCTATCATTTCATTCAGGAAGTGTATCTGTTTCACTGTGAAGTTTATTCATATCATTTTTGAGCTCCTTGAGTATGTTTATAATTGCTATTTTGTGCACCAGTTAAACTGATTCCTTGGGAAAATTAGTATGTCAGTGCTGGTTACTGGAAGAAACACTTTTTTTGGTTGTCTCTGTTGTTCACGGTTTTATGGTGTGTAGGAGTCTACAGTTATGTCATTTGAGGTATTTTTTGTTATGGACATCTGTTCTCAAATTTTTGTATAGTTGTTTGTATCTTTTCATGGCATTATTCCAACTTGTAATTTGTAGATCAGTTGAATGTTGCTTATTTTTTAAGTCTTAGGCCACTCTGGGGTTGTAGATGGGACTCCCCAGGGTCCCAGGTAAACACATGGATAAAGTGATGGACAGGCAAAGGTGAGAGACTAGATCTGGGTGTCTCTAACTCAGTGGGGTTCTGCAGGGATAGGAGCAGGGCAGTGACTGTTAGGCAAGGCAGCCAGGTGACTGGCTCTGGTAGTTTCTGCCTGGAGTACTGATTCAAACTACAGGTTCACAGTCAGCAAAGTCCCAGGTCTGTGCTATAGACTGGGTACTAGATACGTGGGTAGGAAATAAATAATACTAACTATCTCTAGAAGTCTCTAACTCGGGTTTTAGGAGGGACTTCACACAGTAGGAGAACCCAGTGATATAAAAATGTATTCAACTTCCTAGTGATTACACTGCTGCTTCACCTAAAAGATTTTTATGTTATGAAATAGAGAACGTCCCTTGAAAATAGAGAATGCTGAGGGCCAAATAGTTTTGATATGAGTCATTGTCTTTCATGAATGATTTGTCTGTGTTCATAACCTACACTTGGACAAGTTTCAAGTAAAGTAACTTTAGATGTTTAAACATCACTTTAAACATGATACAGTTATAAGAGTTCTTATTATTAGACATTGATCATGTTCCTCAAATTTTATATTTGTTTACAATTCTTATATTCATTTCTACTTCTAACAACCTCACAAGCTACTTCAGAATATTTGCCAAATGAAGTCACTGGTTAATCTTTTCTTCTGTCCCAAACCCAAATGAAAAGTGTCAATCTTTAATAATTGTGCAGAAATTGTATTTTATTTTTATTACCTGAATTTCTTTATTTTTGTGGTGAGGATGGTAATATACAGTCTACAACTCTAGTAAGAAATCAGAGGAAATCTCAGTGGAGTCATCAACTTCCCCTTCTACCATGTGCATCCTAAAAGCAGAACTCAGGTTATTAGACTTTAGTGGCAAGTGTCTTTACCTACTGAGCTACTTTGCATGCTCAGAAAGTTTTACTCTGAGCTTGAAAATTTTCTATCAAGATTAAATTCTATGTTACATGAAGCACTAACAATGATATTTATACTTCTCATTCATGTATCATATGATACCATTAAATGTAAGTCAGTAATGTGACAAAATGTGATTTATTCTCAAAAGTTTTTAACTGTTGATATAACAATCATTAGTCATTAAGATAAAATACTACCATAAGAGGAAAAAATGACAGTTCAACAAAAAGACTGGAATTTATATATTTTAATATATTATATAACACAAGAAAGGCAATACCAGTCTGTTACAACAGGTCAAGTGTCAGAAACACAGAGACAGAGTTCAAGCATCAGAGACACAGTCTTACTGCTCTGTAGTGTGTGGGTTCATTATCCTAGCACAAGCCATTTCATGCTCATTACAGCTAGAAAGTCACAAGAAAGACGACAAGAGTCGGTGCACACATCATGTGACTGATAGTATGTTCACTGGAGTTAGTCCTATAGCCTCACTGAGCATTAAAGAGAGCCACAGATTGCTTTTATTTCTTAGTAGCACTAAATGTTGAGGAGAGTTATAAGTATAGAAAAAAACTGGTAGGAACTTTTAACAATTGCTTACTCTTACTATTTACTGATTTATTTGACACTAAGACAGTATATCATTTAAACAATAAATAAATAAATAAATAAATAAATCCTTTAGAGGAGCAAAACATGGGTAACCTCAGAAACCATGATGATACAGCCAGTGCAAATGCCAAGGTATCCATACTGCTGGGGAACATCAAAATTAGTGTTGATTTTCTGAGTATATATTTTCTGGTTATATTATTTTCAACATTTTTAAAGACAATACTCACAGTGAATACATCTTTTTGACACTGACAGTAAAAACATTTTATCAGGATAATGTTTAGGGAGAGCAACTGAGTCTGAATATGGAGCATGTTTCCAAAACAGGGCCAGCACTTTACAGGGTGTTCACTTATAACCAAGAGAAAGCCAAAGGAAAAACATTATTATGTATTTAAAGATGGCTAATTTGTGTGTCTCTATGGAAAATGATTCAAAGAAGAAATCTCTGTATATTTCCACCCAAGGAAAGACTTCAGTCTGCCCCCAAATATTGCTGAACTATTTACACTAACAATGGTTATCTATAAATATTAATGTGTCTAAATTATTTCTGCAAAAGTTTAGAAAATCACGTAGCAAATTATTGAATTTTCTGCCATCTACCAGCATGTTTCCAAACAATTGAACTCATATACACCTTTCTAAAGTTAAAGCAGCCTATGGGTTAGCTTTTCTAGGAACAAGCTGAGACATAGGAGAGGGTAGTTGCGCAATAGGCTTGAAGCCATAGCTTGAATTCCAGCACCTCAAAGACTTGGAGTAGTGGCTCATACCTGTAATCCCATCACTTTGAAGGTAAACTATGAGAATGATAAATTCAAGGACACTGGGATACACATGAACTGTACCAAATTAAATAACTTTTTTTAAAATGTGGAAAGATGAAAGGTATGGGTGTGAATCCCATTTGTCAAAATTTGCTGAATTAGTTAATCAAAAAGAGGATTTGTTAAATAGTAATAACAGTACCAGAGTTGTTTGTGTAATGAAACAAAGTAATGTTTTTGTAATATATCAAAGTAATAAAACTACCTGCCAAATAACTTCTAGTATGTGTGATACTCTAAATTTTATTTATACTATATGTGTTTCACATATTTTCTATTTTTGGATTTGTACATGTGTTAACATTTTTTATCTATTTTTCCATAAGTAGACAAATGTCTAATGGAGACAGTAAAATCATGGCTTCTTAAAATTGATTACACTGTTGATGAAACTTAAGTTGCCCCCATACACCAAGAAACAGGAAACCAAGATCTTGGAAAGTTTAGTTACATTCATCTCAGTTTTGATGTGACAAATGATGAAATAAGATATGACAAGAATCTGGGTGATTAAGCACAGTTCAATAACATGGTGCATCAATAATGTATAAACACTATTAATTTTTTCAAAGAATGAAATGATATTTAGTCTTTGTCAGCTAAGCTGTTTAAAGAATGAGCTCTTCTTTAGGGAGCAAAGTTGATTGACATGAAGATTTTTCTTTCATGTAGGAGGAGCCTTTTGTAATGGTCTCTGAAAATGTGTTGGGAAAACCGAAGAAATACCAGGGCTTCTCCATTGATGTTTTGGATGCCCTATCTAACTACCTGGGTTTTAACTACGAAATTTATGTTGCACCAGACCACAAATATGGAAGCCCACAGGAAGATGGGACTTGGAATGGATTGGTAGGAGAACTTGTTTTTAAGGTAAGAATTCACTTATCTCATTCCCCTAACTTGAGCAATAAAAATGAAAGCTTCTTTCATAAGAAGAAACTTCATGGAAATTATTTGATTGTGGTATTTAGTGCAAGAGACACACCTAGTGCTATTTAATGAATGTTGTGAAGAGAAAACTGGATAATGAAATCAAATTTAAATTCGAGTATCTCCTGTAACTAAAAACTACAATTGAAGTCTACTTTCTGTCTTTTGGCTGTATACCTATCACATTATGCTGATTTTCTTATAACTTTCTAGTATAGGTACTTCTTAGAATGATGTAGTCATTTGAGGGGATTTTATAAGTGTATTTTTTTGTCTAATCTGCCCATCTCTTCTACATCAGTTGCTATCTTCTGACACATTAGTTGTTAATATTCTGCTAGAATTTCAGTTCCCAATTGCATGTGAATTGATGTGGATCCTCAATGACTATTTGAATAACACTAGTCCTAACCTGCTACAGTACCCATTCACAATGTATGATCACCCTCCAGAATATGTTTACTTTTAAAAGAAATAGCATGGAGAGAGAGGTAGACTGAAAAAGACTAGGAAAACATGGAGGTTAGGAAGTAAACATTTTTACACATACACACACACACACACACACACACATGCTTGCAAGGACACACACATTATACATGCATACATATATATGTGGTAGAAGGAAAAAGATAATAGAAGACTAATTGTTTTTCCAAATTTTGTTTGCTTTTAGATATATGAAAAACTGAATATGATTATAAGCCAATAGGAAAAAAGAAATAGGAATTTAACATAGAAACAAAAGTGAATGTGTAATAGACAGTGAATAGAAATTAGTTTGAAAAATGTTTCTGATGAGAGAAAGTTGTTGCTTTCATAATGAAATGTTATGATGAGTATGTGTCTTTAAAATAAACAGGTAAGAAGTTGAGAGATTGAGGGAGATCACAATGCTTCAATTTCTTGAGAAAAATAAGCCAAGCAGTGACAGTGATTGGAACAGGTGTTTCATAAGTATCTTTAGGACACCAAGATGGGACACACCTTTAATTCCATAACTCAGGAGGAAAAGAGAGGAAAATTGAAGGTAGTTTAAAACCAGTCTGTTATAAAGAGTGGGTTCTAGATCATATGATGCTACACAGTGAGAATCTATCTCCAAATAAATAAATAAATAAGCAAATAATATGTAAATAAATAAATAAGTAGATAAATGAATAAATAAATGAGTCCTGGGAGATAGTGAAAGACTGAATTAGCTATCAAGGGAATTGGGAGATCATTGGTGGTGAGGAAGGAACTGTGGTTTTCAATGTTTTTCAAGTCTTCAAAAGTTGTTCATCTAGGATTAGTTCAGATACTAAAGCTCATAAGGCCTTAAAAACACTAAGGTAATTAGAAAAATATCAATCCCTTGTTTTCTTTTTATCTTTTAAAAAATTAAATTAGAAACAAGCTTATTTTACATGTCAATCCCAGATCCCTTTCCCTTCCCTCCTCCCCTGCCCCACACTGACCCACTATTCCATCAACTTTCTGTTCTCCAGGGAGGGTGAGCCCTTCCAAGGGGGATCTTCAAAGTCTGTCATACCATTTGGAGCAGGGCCTAGAACCTCTCCCCTTGTGTTTAGGCTGAGAGAGTATCCCTCTATGTGGATTGGGCTCCCAAAGTACATTTATATACTAAGGATAAATACTGATCCACTACCAGAGACCCCATAGATAAACCAGACCTCCAAATTGACATCCTCGATCAGGGTGTCTGGAACAGTCCTAAGCTGGTTTCCCAGCTACCAGTCTGGGGTCTAAGAACAAGCCCTTGTTCAGGTCAGTTGTCTCTGTGGGTTTCTCTAGCCTAGTCTTGACACCTTTGCTCATCACTCCTCACTCTCTGTAATTGGATTGCACAGTTCGGCTCAGTGTTTAGCTGTGGGTGTTTGCTTCTGCTTCCATCAGCTACTGAATGAAGGCTCTAGGATGGCATATAAGGTAGTCATCAATCTCATTATCAGTGAAGGGCATTTAAGGTAGGCTCTCGACTCTTGTTTAGATTGTTAGTTGGGGTCATCATTGTAGATCTCTGGACATTTCCCAAGTACCAGATTTCTTTTTAAACCTATAATGGTTCCCCCTATTAGGATTCTCTTTTCTTGCTCTCCTTTATTCTTCTCCTGACTCAAAGTTTCTGCACTCTCCTGTCCTCCTCTCCCTTCCTCTTCTACCCTTCTCTTTCTTCTAACTCCCTCTCCTATCCCACCATGCTCCCAACTAGCTCAGGAGACCTTGTCTCTTTCTGCTTCTTCAGGGGACCATGTATGTCTGTCTCTCTTAGTGTCCTCCTTGTTTCATAGCTTCACTTGTGGTGTGGGCTGGAAGCTGATACTCCTTTGCTTTATGTCTAAAATATATATTTGAATAAGTACATACCATGTTTGTCTTTTTGTGACTGGGTTACCTCGCTCAGGATGGTTCTTCTAGTTCCAGTAATTTGTCTTCAAATTTCAAGATTCCATGAGAAGTACTCTGTTGTGTAAATGTATCACTTCTCTGTCCATTCTTCAGTTGAGGGGCATCTAGGTTGCTTCCAGGTTCTGGCTATTACAAATAATGCTGCTATGAACATCCTGGAACAGACATCCTTGTTGTATGAATGTGCATCTTTTGGGTATATGACTAAGAGTGGAATTTTTGGGTCTTGCGGTAAATTGATTCGCATTTTCCTGATGAATCTCCATACTAATTTCCAAAGTGGCTATACAAAATGGCACTCCAACCAGCAGTGGAAAAGTGCTCCCCTTTCTCCACATCCTCTCCAGCATAAACTGTAGTTGGTGTTTTTTATTTTAGCCATTTTGACAGGAGTGAGATGGTGTCTCAGAGTTGTATTGATTTGCATTTCCCTGATGGCTAGGGATGTTGAGCACTTTTTAATTGCCTCTCAGCCATTTTAGACTCCTCTAATGAGAATTCTCTGTTTAGTTCTGCACCCCACTTTATAGTTGACTCCTTTGATATTTTGGAGACTTGCTTCTTGAGTTCTTTGTATGTTTTGGTAATCAGTCCTCTGTCAGATGTGGGGTTGGTGAATATGTTTTCCCATTCTATGGATTACCTTTTTGTTTTGCTGTCTGTGTCCTTTGCCTTACATAAGCTTCTCAGTTTCATGAGGCACCATTTATTAATTGTCGATCTCAGTGTCCATGCTACTAGTTTTATGTTCAGAAAGAAGTCTACCATACCAATTCATTCAAGGGTACCACCTACCTTCTCTTCTAAGATTTTCAGTGTGACTGAATTTATGTTGAGGTCTTTGATGCATTTGAACTTGTGCATGGTGATAGATATGGATCTATCTGCAATCTTCTACATGCCAGTATCTAGTTATGCCACCATCATTTGTTGAAGATGCTTTTATTTCCATCGTATAATTTTAGCTTCTTTGTTAAAAATCAGGTGTTAGTAGATGTGTAGTTCCATACCAGGGTTTTCAATTCATCTACCTGTCTGTTTTTGTGCCAATACCAAGAGGTTTTCAGGACTATAGGTCTATAATATAGCTTTGGATGCCTTTGGAAGTTCCTTATTATATAGGGTTGTTTTGACACATCCTGGGTCTTTTGTTTTACCATATAAATTTGAGAAATCTTCTTTTAAGGACTTTTTAAGAATTGTGCTGAGATTTTGATGGGGATTGCTTTTGGCAAGATTGCCATTTTTACTGTGTTGATCCTACCTATCCAAGAGCATGGGAGATCTTTCTATTTTCTGATATCTTCTTTAATTTTTTCTTTAAAGACTTGAAGTTCTTGAAATACAGGTCTTTCATTTGTTTTCTTAACATTGCGCCAAGTTGTTTTATGTTTTTGTGGCAATTGTAAAGGGTGATGTTTCTCTGATTTCTTTCTCAGCCCTTTTATCATTTGTATATTGTAGGGATACTGAATTTTTTAGTTGATCTTGTATCCTGCCACTTTGCTGAAGGTTTTTATCACACAATATAACTGAGTGAGGTCTTATGTGTAATTTAAGTTTTAGTAATGTTTCTTTTACAAACATTGGTGCCTTTGTTTTGGGGCATAGTTATTCAGAATTGAGAATTCTTCATGATGGATTTCTCCTGTGATGAGTATGAAATCATCTCCTTCATCTCTTTTGATTGATTTTAGTTTAAAGTCTAATTTGTTAGTTATTAGGGTTGCTACCCCTGTTTGTTTCTTGGATACATTTGATTAGAAAATATTTTCCCAACCCTTAATTCTGAGGTGTCATCTGTCTTTGAAATTGAGGTGTATTTCTTGTATGCAGGAGAAGGATGAATTCTGTCTTTGTATTCATTATGTTGCCTGTGTCTTTTCATGGGTGAGTTAAGACCATTAATACTGAGGGATGTTAATGACCGTTGATTGTTCATTCCTGTTTGTTTTAGATTTCTTGGTGGTAGGGGAACTGTATGTGGATTTCCACCCCTTTTCTCTTTTGGCTGTTGGTAAAGTGGGATTATCTATTGCTTATGTTTTTCTGGTTGTAATTAAGTTCCTTTGCTTAGAGTTTTCCTTCCAGAGCTTTGTGTAGCACTGGATTAGTGGATATGTATTATTTAAATCTGGTTTTGTCATGAAATATTTCATTTTCTCCATCTATCGTGATTGAAAGCTTTGCTGGGTATAGTAGTCTGGGCCGGCATCCGTGGTCTCTTACTGTTGGTAGAATATCTATCCAGGACATTCTGGCTTTCAGAGATTCCATGGAGAAGTGAGGTGTAATAATGATAGGCTTGCCTTTATATGTTACTTGGCCTTTTTCCTTAAGTGCTCTTAATATTTTTTCTTTATTATATATGTTTGGGTTTTGGTTACTATGTGGCAAGGGGATATTTTGTGGTCCACTCTATTTGTTGTTATGTAAGCATCTTGTAATTTCATTGGCATGTCTTTCCTTAGGTTGGGAAAGTTTTCTTCTATGATTTTGTGGAATATATTTTCTGCCCCTTTGAGGTA